CTGCTCCTCTTTTCCCTCCTCCTCCTCCTCCACCTCCCTCCTCCTGCTCCTCTTCCTCCTCCTCCTTCTCATCCACCTGCTCCTCTTCTCCCCCCTCCTCCTCCTCCACCACCTCCTCCTCCTCTCCTCGTCCTCCTCCTCCTTCTCTATCCTCCTCTATCCTCCGCTATCCTCCTCTATCCTCCTTTATCCTCCTCCATCCTCCTCTATCCTCCTCTATCCTCCTCTATTCTCCTCTATCCTCCTCTATTCTCCTCTATCCGTCTCTATCCTCCTCTATCCTACTCTATGCTCATCTTTCCTCCTCTATCCTCCTCTATCCTCATCTTTCCTCCTCTATCCTCCGCTATCCTCCTCTATCCTCCTCCTCCGCCTCCTCCTCGCCTTCCTCCTCCTTCTATTCCTCCATTCCGTCTCCTCATATATAACTCCTCCCTGTCGCAACCCGAGGCCAGTCGAAAGGGCGAGCCGGGCGTTTCGCTGGAGACTTCCTCACCATGTAGGATCCGGAGGCTTCAAAAGTGGCCACAGTTCCACAGATGGAGGGCGGGTCGCTTCCAAAATGTGACTCTCGCCTCAGCGACGCGCACAGCCGCTTTAAACATGTGCAAGAGCTTCACAGATTGATTTATGGCCGGTCGTTTTCAAGATGTGGCTCTCGCATTAGCGACTCGCGAAGTCGTTTGAAAAATTGCAAGAGCTTGACGGATTGAGAGTTGGTCGTTTTCGAGATGTGGCTCTCGCCTTAGCGAAGCGCGCATTCGTTTCAAAAGTTGCGAAAGCTTCACGGATTGAGGGCGGACGGCCGTCAAAATGCGCATTTGCAAGAGTTTCACGAATCGAGGGCGGATCGTTTTCAAAATGTGACTCTGGCCTCAGCGCCGCACACACTCGTCTTTTACACTTGCAAGAGTTTCAGAGGATGGTTAACATACCAGAAATGGTGTTTCGGAATGAGTCAGCATTGTCAGGGCGCCAAGTTACGTTGATTCGCAATTTTGAAGTCCCAGGAACGCTGTTCTGGCACGATTCAGGATCGCCAAGACGCAACAGTCAGGCAACTCGAGGCGTTGAAGTCCTGAGAATATTGTTTTGGCACGCTTCAGGATCTTCAAACAGTTGTCCTCCAACGGGGCCACTTCCTCAGTGGAAGTGAACCCTTGTAAAAAAGAGCATATGAAGACGAAGCTTGGAGGGAGCTCCCTCCATGCCTCCCTGCCTCCCTGCCTCCCCGCCTCCCTGCCTCCCTGCCTCCCTGCCTCCCTGCCTCCCTGCCTCCCTGCCTCCCTGCCTCCCTGCCTCCCTGCCTCCCTGCTTCCCTGCCTCCCTGCCTCCCTGCCTCCCTGCCTCCCCGCCTCCCCGCCTCCCTGCCTCCCTGCTCCCTGTCTCCCTGCCCGCCTGCCTCCCAGCCTCCCCGCATCCCTGCCTCCCTGCCTCCCTGCCTCCCTGCCTCCTTGCCTCCCTGCCTCCCTGCCTCCCTGCCTCCCCCTGCCTCCCTGCTCCCTGCCTCCCTGTCTCCCTACCTCCCTGCTCCCTGCCTCCCCGCCTCCCGCGCCTCCGCCTCCCCGCCTCCCGCCTCCCTGCCTCCCCGCCTCCCCGCCTCCCCTCCCTGCCTCCCGCCTCCCGCCTCCCTGCCCGCCTCCCCTCCCCCCCCCCCCCCCCCCTCCCCCCAGCCTCCCAGCCTCCCCGCCTCCCTGCCTCCCTGCCCCTCCCTGCCTCCCTGCCTCCCTGTCTCCCTGCCCGCCTGCCCCCGCCTCCCCGCCTCCCTGCCTCCTGCCTCCCCTGCCTCCCTGCTCCCCGCCACCCAGCCTCCTTGCCGCCTCCCTGCCTCCCTGCTTCCTTGCCTCCCTGCCTCCATGCCTCCCGCCATCCCTCCTTCCCTCCCTCCCTCCCTACCTCCCTCCCTGCCTCCCTCCCTTTCTCTCCTCCTCCTCCTCCTCCTCCTCCTCCTCTCTCCTCCTCCTCCTCCTCCTCCTCCTCCTCTCCTCCTCTCAGCAGCAGCAGCAGCAGCAGCATCAGCATCAGCATCAGCATCATCAGCATCATCAACAGCATCAACATCATCAAGACCATGAGCATCACCACCATCAGAGCATCATCATCATCATCATATCATCATCATCATCATCATCATCATCATCATCATCATAATCATCATCATCATCATCATCATCATCATCATCATCATCATCATCATCATCATCATCATCATCATCATCATCATCATCTTCATCATCATCATTCATCATCATCATCATCATCATCATCAGCATCATCATCAGCATCATCATCACCATCATCATCATCATCATCATCCTAATCCTCATTTCCTCATCAGCAGCATCATCATAATCAGCATCATCATCATGATCAGCAGCAGCAGTCGCATCGTCATCATCAGCATCACCATCATCATCATCATCATCAGCAGCATCACCATCATCATCATCATCATTAGCAGCATCATCGTCATCATCACCATCATAAACTATCATCATCATCAACAACATCAAAATCCTCAACAACAGCAGCATCAGCATCAGCATGCACATCATCAGCATCATCAGCAGCATCGTCATCAACCACATCGCCATCATCATCACCATCATCAACAGCATCAGCAGCAGCATTGTCGTCAGTATCATCAGCAGCAACATAATCAGCATCCTCATCATCAGCAGCAGCAGCATCACCATCATCAGCATCAGCATCATCATCAGAAGCATCAACATCATCTTCAGCATCATCACCACCTTCAGCATCGTCATCGTCATCAGTAACTATCATCAACATCATCAGCATCATTGACATCATCGTCATCGAAAGCATCATCATCCTAATCATCATCAACAACCACAGCAGCATCATCATAAGCAGCAGCATCAGGATCATCATCAGCAGCAGCATCATCATCGCCAGCAGCATCATCATCATCAGCAGCATAATTACCATCAGCATCATCATAAGCATCATCATCATCAGCATCATCCTAATCATCCTCATCCTCATCATCATCATCACCTTCATCATTTTTTTCAGCGCAATTTTGGAGGGAGGAGAAGGAGCGGACACCACCAAGCCATAGCCCCACCGTGCAGCATGCCTGCTGAGAACACTGCCAATGCCGGCCAAATACGATCTACATTACACAAAATGGCCCCACCAAACTGCTAAACATGGCCGCGGTGGCAGGAGAACAGTACGAAACCCCGAGCGTCTGCGTTGGCGCAAGTGTCTGTAGTAAGGGAGAAGAGGGGAGGGGGAAGAGGAGAACGGCGAAAGAGCAGGAGAGCGGAAGGGGGAAACAAGACAAACAGACTGATATAAGCTCCCCGCGGCTGCATATCACACCAGCGCGCAACGGAAGACGGACCTAGCAAGTGGGAGAAGTGGCCAGCGACAAGGAAAAATACAAGGAATATAAGACTCTCTGTAATCAAATGGACGCAGCCCGTCCGAAGCCAAGAGCGGACCAGAGGAGGCCCAGCCGAGGGGCTGCAGCAGGAGCCCCAGACCTGGGCGGCGGGCGGACGAGGGGGGAGGAGGCGGAGGAAGGCGGAGGCGGAGGACGGAGGAAGGGAGGGGAGGAGGGCGACAGCACGTGCAAAGCGAGCGCTCGGGGCCCCAGGAGTGCGGGGGAGAGCAAATCGAGCCGTCAGCTATTGCCGCCTGACCGGTGGTCTATTCGGGGGGAGCGAGGAGGAGACAGGAAGAGGAGGCGGAGAGCAGGTCCACCCCAGCAGGGCAAGCCGGCGCACCGCCTCTGGGAGGCGAGAGCGGGAGGAAAGAGACGAGGGGGGAGGGAGGTTAATTCGCCTGCTACTGCTCGTGCTGCCTGACCGCCCCTACCAGCGTGGCACAAAGTCCCCAGCGATCGTGCACGCTGGGCGGCCTGCGGACGGGGGACCCTGCCCGAACTCACATCGTCCAGCCGGCCTGTGCTAATTGACACGATGACCCCGAGCGGAGGCCAGGAAGGCGGAGGAGGAAAGGAACAGGGGGAGGAGAGAAACGTGCCAGCGAACGCAGCGCACAAGATCGCCCGTGCCAGAGCCCCCTGACGGCCCCGCCGGACTGCGGAACCCGCCGGGTATTTGGCCAACTATGAATTGCACTGCCCGCGCTGGAGCGGGATGCCTGGGTCAAATGCGGTACAACGTTGAGCCAGGCTCCGCCCAACCCGCCCGAGCGCCACCTATAAGCCGTGTCAACGGCCGCGTGGCCAGGATACCGACCGGCCCTCGAAGGGAACCCTAACACGACGGACTGGCATCCCCCGAGTCTGCCGAAAGGGGGGGGTCGAGGCGAGGAGGAGGAGGAGGAGGAGGCAGAGGGGAGACGAGCCGCCCTCGACGAGCGTCACAACTGCTTGACGGCGATCCGACGCTCCAGCCGCGCCCGCCCGTCCGCCCACCCAGGGGCAGGCGCGCGGCAGCAGCAGGAGCGGACGGCGCACCGAGTCCGTGGCGCACCGACTCCGTAACATTTAAATCCCGCCTGCCGCAGGACAGGAGACACAGCCAATGCAACACTGTGGGAGCAAACACAAACTAAGACGTATGCCCGTTGAGTTGAAACTGCGTTCCACGCAAGCTGTGGGAACCTCATCTGTCCTGGCCGCGTGGCCGATGCAGCTGCTGGTGTGCGCGAGGCTTCCCCGGTGCATACATACGGTGTGGTCGGGCGCACCCCACGCCCGGAGGGAGTGAGAGGAGGGGGGAGGAGGAGGAGGAGGAGGAGGAGGAGGAGGAGGAGGAGGAGGAGGAGGAGGAGGAGGAGGAGGAGGAGGAGGAGGAGGGAGGAGGGGAAGAGGGCCGCCCTCGACGGGCGTCGCTGCCGCCCGGCAGGCGGACGGGCCTGCCTGAACCAAAAATGACAAAAAGCACGGGCAACCACGGAGGAGGGAGAGGAGGGGGAAGGGAGGAGGAAGGGGGAGGAGGGGGAAGCGGAGGAACAACTGGGTGGAAGAAGGCCTAACCAGCCCCACGCACGCTGCGAGCTCACACGCCGTGGATGGCGGAACCTGCCGCGACCCGCGGCTCCTGCAGCTGCGACAGCACCTCGGCGAAGAGCCTCGGGACGTTGAGGCGGGCGCCGGCCGCGTGCCGGAGGGTGGTGTGCGCTTTGCCATCGTGGCCGTCCTGGCGACCTCCTCGGCAGGGACTCCGGGCTGCCACAAGAGCGCGCGGGTAGTGCGCTCTGCGGGGGGTCCCGGGTCAGCCAGGCCCAGCTTGGACACTCCGAAGCGCCACAGCTTCGGGCAGCAGACGTAGTGCCGGACGTCGTCGTCGCCCAGCCTGCAGCCGAACGCGCAGCGGCCGCCGCGGGCACCGAAACGGCGCCCGGCGCACCATCCGTTCAGCCAGGTGCGCAGAACGGCAGCACGCACCCGCGGCGGCGTTTTCTGTGGGAGCCGCTGCATGACCAGCCGACAGCGCTCTGCCCGCCGGCCCGGCAGGGAGCCCGGATCATGCCATTTCCGGACCTTGGCGCTCAGCTGGGCGTGCCCCGCGCGCAGCCAGTGCTGGCGCCGCAGGAGCGTCGTCGCAGACGCTTGCAGCCGTCGTCTGGCCCGCACCCAAGTCGCGAGGGTGACCGGGCGAGGGTCCCGGCCCATCCCGTGCTCCAGCGCCCTCGCCTCTATGACGCCCTGTCTGGCCATCATCACCTTCATCAGCCGCATCATCATCAGCAGCATCATCAGCAGCATCATCCTCATCATCATCAGCATCATCAGCATCATCATCAGCAACAGCATCAGCATCAGCATCATCGTGCTCGTAGGCCTCATCATCAACATCTTAAGTATCAGCCTAATCATCATCATCATAATAGTAAGCATCATCAGCATCATTGTCATCATCAGCATAATCATCGTCAGCAGCAGCATCATCATCAGCAGCATCATCAGAAGCAGCAGCAGTATCAACAGCATCATCATCATCATCATCATCAGCATCATCATCATCAGCAACAGCATCAGCATCAGCATCATCATGCTCGTCAGCCTCATCATCAGCAGCAACATCATCAGCAACAGCATCCTCATAATCATCATCAGCAGCAGCAACATCATCCTCATTATAATCATCAGCAGCATCATCATCATCATCCTTATCATCCTCATCATCCTCCTCATCCTCCTAAACCTCATCATGCTCATCATCACCATCCGCATCATCATCATCAGCATCAGCATCATCATCAGCATCATCAGCAAGATCATCGTCATTATCAACATCAGCAGCAGCAGCATCATCACCATCACCATCATCGTCCCCCTCCCTGCTGCTCCCCCTCGGTCCTCCCCGCCCTCCCACCCCCCTCGCCCCCTCGGAGGTGCAGCAGCAGCTGGGAGGAGCCGCCCCGCCTGGGACGCCGCGGCCTGGCCAGCACGGCCCGCAGGGCGCTGCACCGCTGCCCGAGGCCGGGGGCCGCGGGAGGACTGTGGAGCCAAACGGCGACGACAACGACGACGACGACGACGACGACGAAGACGACGACGACGACGACGACGACGACGACGACGACGACGTCTGAGCCGTCCGAGGAGGAGGAGGAGGAGGAGGAGGAGGAGGAGGAAGAGGCGGGAGAGGAAGGAGGCGGTGGAGGAAGAAGAGGAGTTCGCGGAGGAGGAGTAGGAGGAGGCGGAGGAGGGGGGGAGGGGAGGAAGGGGAAGGGACAAGACAGGCGCACTCGCGCCACATCTGACATCCTACGCCTCACCCCTCGTCTCGTACCATTGCGCGTCCCTCTGTTCGAAAGGTCGAGTGACGAAGAAGGCATGGATCCCGGCAAGGCAACTTTGTCGACGAAGGCACGGGAAACCAGAAGCTCGGAAAGGCATGACGGAAGCGGAGGGCAGGGCGAGGGAAAAGGAGCGAGAACGGACGGGGGAAATAGTCGTACTGAGGACGACGACGGCGAAGGAAAGCCAGCACGAGGAGGAATCAGCAAAGCATTGAAAATAGCAGCGGGACGAAAGGGGCAAAGACTGTGGGGGGCGGGAGTTCGACGATTGGGACGGGGAGGGAGCGCAGGAGGAGGAGGAGGAGGAGGAGGAGGAGAAGGAAGAGGAGGAGGAGGAGGAGGAGGAGGAGGAGGAGGAGGAGAAAGAGAAGGAGGAGAAAGAGGAGGAGGAGGGGAAGAAAAATTAGCCGGGCCGCTGCCGGCACAACTCGAGATGGCCGGCACCCGCTCGCGTCTTCGCAAGCAGTACGGCACGGCACTGGGCCGGGTGTGCTTCATGATGAAGGAGGCATACAGGAGGCACCACTCAATAAAGTGCCACGGCAGGGGAAGCACAGTGCAACACCATGTCAGAGCACAGTGGCACAGCCGCGCTGCGTGACACTGGTTGCCATAAGATGCCACAGCGTGGCACGTCACGGCAAAACGTAGCAGTGCAGATCGTGAAATGCCACTGAGTAGCAGGGTGCGTCAACACTTAGCACTGCATTGCACATTCTGGTAGTGCATAACCAAGTCTTGGAAAGCAGAGCAAAGCACATCATATTTTGGCGTCGAACAGCACAGCATATCAAATCACCAGATACAACAACCTAACATATCATATCACAACATGGCACAACGACAAACAAGTATAACTCCAGCACCCAAGTCCGAACAAACCCGCCTGACAACGGAGCCCAGACTGAGTGCAGCTTCTCATCACAAGTGAATCCCGTAGGCACGCCCGACTGGGGAAAGATGCACCCGTGCGGGACCTATGGGTGGCACCAAAAACCAGTCAGTCATCTGGACAGCGACAATGAAGACGAAGTGGAAGGGCAAACGAGGAGGACGACGAACAAAAAGGATGAACAGGCGGAGGACGAATACGACGACGACCAGCGCTGCGGCAAAAAGATCAACGCGTTGGACGGAAACGCTATGGCAAGTTTACAACGTGGTCAATACGGCAGCGGGGGAACCAAATGTTGAAGGATGAAGGACCGAGAACTGGCCGACTGGAGAACAAATCTCAAACTCGGGAACCATGCGCGACATGGAAAACGAGATGCAGGAAGGAGGAGGGCACCCTGGCAGAACACAGTTTCGGGGGAAAGAGGAGAGTAGCACTTATATTGCGCAACCGCCGAAACTACACGTGCTCGCTCCACATGTGACATTCCGCCCCTCCCACCCATCGCTTCACACTGCACTGAAGTATGCTGCATTCGCTGACTGGGGTATCATAGGTGGCCTTGGTCTCCAAAATGACCCCATTGTGCGAAGTGCAAGCACAAGGGGAGGGGGGCAGCTTTGTGCGCTGGAGGAGGAAGAGAGGGAGAAGGAAGAGGAGGAGGAGGAGGAGGAGGAGGAGAAGAAGGAAGTGGCGCATGAGCAGGAGGATGAGCCGGAGGCGGGGGAGGACGATGAGGGAGGAGGAGGAGGAGGAGGAGGAGGAGGAGGAGGAGGAGGAGGGGGAGGAGGAGTAGGAGGAGGAGGAGGAGGAGGAGGAAGAGGAGGAGGAGGAGGAGGAGGAGGAGGCGCTTGGGCGAGAGAGCCATTCTGATCGCCAGGAGCAAAGAACCGATCCTGAGATGTGGCCAATGCTGCAACGGGGAGCGCCGATGTTGAAGGGCCAGAAACAGTCCAACGGAACATACATATACATGGATATACCTACATAATTACTTGAACACGTACATGTACACATACATACATGTACAGTTTGAACACAGTTCGAGTGCTCACAAGAAGGAGAGGCTGCCCCCGCACGAGGAGCGAAGAGAGAAGATGATGGCACATGAGGGGGAATCCTACTTCTACACACCATCATCCTCATCGCCATCCTCGTCGATCACCCTCCTCCTCCTCCTCTTCCTCCTCCTCCTCCTCCTAATCCTAATCCTCGAGTCGTCGGTCCTCCGCCCCCGCCTCACCCTCCTCCTATTGCTCCCCAGGAGGGGGTGCAGGAGGAGGAGGAGGAGGAGGAGAAGGAGGAGGAGGAGGAGGAGGGTGTTGATCGTCAGCGGGGGAGGCCCAGAGGGTGTGTATCGTGAGCGGGGAGGCTCCCCAAGCCAGGAGACGGAGGAGGCACAGGCACGCGGGCCGTGACCATCTAGTGGGGGGGCGGGGGGGGGGGGGGGGGGGGGGGCGCGCCGAGCGTGGTAGCCCCTTGACGGCCTCCCTCTTCGTCCGCAAAGCCTAGAACACGCACAGTGTTGGCCGGTGTGATTTCACAGCGAGTAAGCCTACGATGCCCTGTGCTTGGCAGGGTGAAGGAGAAACGAGAACGAGAACTAGCAGGAGGCCAAGGAGGCAGGAGAATGATGACAAGGCACGAGAACGAGAACGAACAGGGCGAACGAACGAACGAACGGCCTCGCTCTTCCCTCCCTCCCTCCCTCCCTCCCTCCCTCCACATCGTCGTCACCGCGATGATCATCTTCATGCTCACAATCGCTGCTCCTTCATTTAGCCCCCATCACTCTGTCGCTCGGCCCCTCGCCCGTCGGACACTCCTTCGTGTTTGACCCCCACGTTCGTTCGACCCTCATCCGCTCGACCCTCGTCTGTGAACGCTCGTGTGCGCTGCTCGCTCGCTTGACCCTCATTCGTTTAGGCTTGACCCTCATGGTGGGACCCAGGCTTGCCAAGAACGGCACGATCAGCAGGACAGGGCACACCCTCCTCGCCACGTCGCAGGATGGGCTCGGAATAGATGGGGTCGGAGGATCGCGCCGCATCGCCGATGCACCAGCGACGCATCGGCGATGCACCAGCGACGTCGACGTGGAGAACATCGGGCTCCACATCGAGCCGCATCGCCGATCCATCGGCGATGCGGCGCGATCCCCCGACCGCATCTACACTCGGACATAGGCCAGACGAACATCCCTCGAGAACATGAGACCCTCCGTCGGCCAGAACAAACAAAAAACATCCAAGGGTACCCTCCTGGGGATGCACGGGAACATCCAACAAGCACGAAGAGCACTAGGGCACCCTCCCCGAACCGGCCTCGATCTTGCACCTCGGCCCGCCTGTGCTCGGACCCCCCTCCAGGGAGGCCCGGAGCTAGGGGCCCCGGCAGGCCGCTGGAGGCCAGGGGAGAGAGAGAGAGAGAGAGAGACCTCAGGACACCGCGAGGGGCCCAGGCCTGCTCGCACGACGTCCAGGGCGCGCCCAGTGCGCAGGGAGCGCCCGAGCCTCGCCCGACCCCGCCGCCCGCGCGGATTTGAGCGCGCGGCTCGGGCCGCCTCCCTATAGGGCCCCACAGCGAGGGATATGGATACAGTAGGGGCCCGACCACAAGAAACCTTCCACAAGAAACCCAACCCTGAGAGCCCAGGCCGTCCATTAGTTCTTGGTGTGGGAGCGTCACGCTGTCCATAGCAAAACCATCGACAACCAAGAAACCCAGGGCACCCTGGAGGCAAGCGGGGTGTTTCTCGGCATGAGTTTCCTCTGTAGGGGGGGGGGGGCGCTGGCCCAGGGGCGGAAACATCGACCTGGAATCGGCGGTGCACCGCAGACGGGTCGGCGGTGGGCCTTCCCGATGGCGAGACCGAGCGGCCCGCTGGGCGGCGTGGGCCATCGAGCCCTACCTGCGAGGAGTGGGCGGTTGGGGGTCGATGCCTCCCCGCCTGAGCCCCGGACCCCGTCCTT